ATATAGCATTCCTTATACATAAAAATTTTGCTACTGTTTTTATTAAAGTTTACTGCATTTCAAAACGATGGCAATACTAGAAAAACTTTGGAAGAAACTAATGAATATAGCAAATAATAAAACTAATAAAATTTATTTTTAATTGCAGTATAATAAAAAGATATTTAAAAGAACCAGATAAAGCGTACCTGCTAAAACAATACTAAACTATGACAATTTTATTACACACTTCAGATTTTATTAATTTTTTATAACAAAACTTGATTTTACATATCTAAATCATCCTTAAAGATAATAACCTAACCTTAAAAGATCCTTTTAAGGCCTACATCAATTTTCAATGTTAAAGCGTTATTTTGTAAAATCTAAGGCATCCCTAAAAAATCCTTCTAAGTCCTTCATCAGTTTTCCTTATCAAAGCCTTATTTAATAAAATCTAAAATATCCTTAAAAGATTCATCTCGGAGCCTGATGTGGTAATAATGAAGCGTCCCTTTTTAGGGCATCCTATTTTCAGTCTTATTAGAGATCTTATACTTCACGAGGATGGCCCTAACAATTTTTTGCTCGGGATTCCCCGACGCCATTGTTCGGGGAATTGTATGAGCGACAGCAAATTGTAGCTACCTGTAGTGATTGTTCCGTTTCTTTTAAAAATTCTGCCATGAGACGAAACAGTTTGAATAAATGAGCAATTTTCTTCTATTATCTTAATTTCATAAAGATTAGATTCCTTGACATTTCGTTATGATTCTCTTTCTCTCTCTCTCTCTCTCTCTCTCTCTCTCTCTCTCTCTCTCTCCCTCTAATAAGATGAATTCTCAAACGAAATTTGGTTAACTACCACTGGTCGACTCGAAGGTTGGAATTGCACTCCCATTTCGTCATTATATCTAGGAGATATCGCGTTGATCGATTATCTATAATCTAGTCGGTATCTAATTGGTATCATATCCAAATCGAGTCGATATATGGATATATCGATTCAACTTGAATATGAATAAGCCGAATAATGACTAGACTGTCGACATCTGCATAAAGCTGCATTTCAGTTACTGACTCCTTGCACTACCACTACTTCTCTTCTTCTCTCTTTTCGCGAGTAGGTCTTGATATATATCTCTATATATATCTTCTTACTAAATTTCCAAAGTGTACATTCAGTTCAGTAAGAACGAACGAATGTAAAGTATTTTCCAGGTATCGTGATAAAGTCTAAGGGTGACTTACCAAATTCCGTTCAAAGCAACCAACGGCTAATTCAGCCCCGACACGACTGAGTTGCCAATATAAAAAGTTAAACAACTTCTTATAGTACGGGAGGAAAAATTCTCTCGTTTTCTCTTTATATTCGGGCAATAATTTTAATTGACTGATTTATTTAATTAATTAATTTATATCACGCATAATCTAACTTTTACCACGTCAATGGAAGTTTAGGACGACGTTTTGTCTATTTAGAAATGTCTGTTAGCAATTCTGTTGGTTCACTGTCTATGAAAACCTTTGCATGTAAAAAATTCGTAACCGTAAGGTCATGAGAAAATTAACCAATCACAGTCGATTATTCTCCTAGGGCGCTAAGGGAATAATCGACCGTGATTGGTCAGTTTTCTTACGACTTTAGGGTTACGATTAAAATTCTTCTTACATGCAATGACCTTTGATTCGCTAACGGAATTGTCTAAAGCCCGTATCAGACTACGGATTGGGATTGAGTATTGGATTGAAATTTAACCAATCAGGGTTAAGTTTACTATATTTGAGATTACTTTCTTTCTTCCAATTGGTCAAATTTCAATCCAATCTCAATCCCAATTCATAGTCTGATACGGGCTTAAGAGTCACCCTTAGAAATATCAAATTGATCGCTACCTGACTTCAGCTTGATTTCGACATGATTTCGGCTGGATTGCTTATCGTGCATCGTTTCTGCACGGTTCTCCTTCGTGCCTTCGTGACGGTGATTTCGAATGCGATCTTGGTATGGCGGCTTAAGGCTACGCGCGGCCCTTGTCGGGGTTAAGGCCTCTGGAGTCGTAAAAATGACGATGACTCGTGGCATATTGATTCCGTGTTGCACACGTAGACTACGTTATCGCGCGTTGTTTACGATGTTTACGATTAGTGCCTGTTAACGTTCCTAGGTAATCGCCAATTAGACGGCATCCGAGTATTGTTCAAGGTAATTCATCGCGAACACATCGGAATGATGTAACCTCTCACGGCAAGACGACCTTGGAAAGCCGGAAAAAAGTGTCTTACATCGCGACGAGGCTCCTTTTCTTCCTGTACAAAGTGTAACGACAAGGGAAGAAGCTGAAGAAGCGAAGAAGGTGGCGGTGGAGGAGGTAGTCATCGGACACCACCTCGACGGGTCTCATTCGACGTCTGAATTTTCGCGTGAAAATTGCAGATGGCTCTGTTCCGCGGGTAATTCGAATTTTACCTCAGGACCGACTCAACAACGTTGCAACAACAGGATGAAAAAGACTCTAAGCGGAGGAACAAGAGCGAGAGAGGCATCGTCGAGCATCGACGACCGAACGTTCAAAGCTTGGGAAAGTGTTGGATGATCGGCCGATAAATCGTACACTCGACAACTCAGTCTCGGAAGACCCGCTCTCTCGATCATTCGGAGACCCGGTCGGATTCGAACGCGACGCGCCTATCGTCGCGCGTAGAACAGCAGGATTTTCAGAGGAGCTACGTGTACTCGAGCGCATCCTGCGTTGCGCAATGCTTTTAATCCCCGACGCGAGTCCCTGTAATCGGCCGATTGCGTAAGTAATTTTCGTCTCGGCGCAATTAATCAACGGCGTGTCGTCGAAATGGCTGCGTTAAACACCGGCACGGATATCGCGCCGTCTCCACGATTTGCGGTTCGTCGATTCGCGACTACTGTCTTTAGAAATGAGTATCGATCGATCGCCTTAACCCGCTATTTTAGGACGTTACGCTGCCCCTTCGATCGTACATCGCGCTCGGCTATATCGAGTGCGCCAATTAGGATGCAAATGACCGCTCGTAACTCCGAGGTGATAACGAGCGCTGTCCAGGCCGCGATTCAAACTCGCATTTGTGAAAGCGTCGTTAACAATTGGTGATTAGTGGTGGCGTTTCTAGTAGTATAGTTGCGAATTTTGCCGGGTTTTTGGCGTTTAGTGCAAACACAGTGGGTTTGCAAGTCGATTTGGTGGTGAAGGCTAAAGTTCTGTTCCGAAATTGGTTCCGGAAACTTTGGTTTTAATTATAAGGTTGGTAACTAATTTGAACTTAAACTAATTTAAACACGTTCCGCGATTGATTAGCTGATCACGCTTGGATGTTCACCGCCATGTACTACTTTTATTCGCAAACTTGGTATTTAACTATTAATTTCACAATATTAGATAGAGAAATGGATAGATTTTTACTATTTGTTATCTTGATAATTAGTCAATTACGGAACGTATTTAAGTTAGTTTAAGGCCTACCAACTTTATAACCTCAAAACCAAAATTTCCGAAACCGATTGCGGAACAGGCCTTAAATTTCTTATTGGTATCGACGCGCTGCATTGACAACGAATTCGCTTGACGTTTTGTCGACACCTACGAGATATCGCACAGGTATCAACTGATTATCGACTAATCGATATCTGAACTAATATTGTATCCAAGTTGAGGCGATATTTGAATATATCGACTCGATTTGAGCACGATGTATAAACTGAGTGGTAGATAGATTATTGACATCTACGATATCTTGCGGATCTCGCGATGAGATTTGGAAATGTTAAATCGATCATTGATTTTTACATAACTTCCACTCGATTTCGAGCGAATACTTTATTGACTTTCGCATGTCCTTCGAGAGTCCTCGTTTCTACGAGCTTTTGTATTTCTTGATCGACTGTCAACCAGCATTTTCGCCCGGGATATTAATTAAGGTTGAGTATCTAATTGTTTCTACGTGTAATATTTTTTAGATACCGCGATGAAGTCTTAGGAATATCGATCGATCGATCTCCGCATGATTTCGACTGAATTCTTTATCGATTTGTGAACTCGAGTGCTCCGAATTCAGAAACAAGCACTGTCCCCTATTCCAAGTATTCTTCACCTTTTCTTCATTGTTCTTTTCTCACTTGTATTTCTCACAACGTCACTGAACGTTAATTCGACGATTAACATCATTTATCTTGTCGCTATTTAGGAAGCGTGATTTACGTAGTAGTTGTCGGAACGCAGAAATCACATCGCCTCGAAGTGAATGAAATTCCCGAGATATTTGTATGTTTGTTATGTAGGAGCCAATGTTGCTTCACGACATGTTCCTTCGTTCGCTCTCAAAACGATCTGAAAACTTTCCGACCGCAATCTTCCGAAACGCAGCTCACTATCCAATGAACAAACCTAACCGAATTATCTCTAGGAATTAATCCAAAAAACATCTTCTCCCCTTGTGTTCTCTTTCATAATTACAGTTCTAATTCAAATTGAATTTAATTATAATTCAAATTTGTTTAGAATTAAATGTTAAATGACTAGAGCTTAAAATAACACATTTGCATTTGGAGAACACCCATTGAATCTCGCGTTGCATAAGAAACAAAAGTTCCAACCGCACTGAAGCCACAGTGATCAGCACACATGAGCTCAAAGATTGCGGCGATCAGACGGACCGAGTTAGGATAAAAAAGCCGGTGACTTTTTCAAGATAAGAAAAGTTTTTTTTTAATGGCGTTTTTAGGATAAAAAGACTCGATGGCTTTCCCTAAAGCTAAATCCTAAATGTTTCAAAGCTAAATCCTAAATCCTAAACCTTTTATCCATCTTTCCATTTTTTCCTAAAGCTAAACCCTAAATTTCTTATCCATCGGCTTTTCTTTTTATCCTTAAGTCAAATCCTAAATCTTCTCATCTACCGGCTTCTTTTCTTATCCTCAAACTAAATCCTATATTGTTTTTACCTTAAAACGTACAACGAAGACATCCCCCGACGCGGGTGGTACTCACCGTGGCAGGCGGCGCCAAGGACTAGCAAGGCGATAATCCAGGTGACCGTCATTTCGGCGAAGGCGTAGGACCGAGTCATCCGCGACAGAGCCGCGCATTTATCACTGCACACGGGCGACGGGGCCGGGACGTCGTCGCTCGCGCGCGTCCTGGGGCGTCCTGGCGTCTCCACGTGTGTGTCGCGAGGCGCTCGCTCGCTCGCTCCGGCGCGATTTGCGCTCGTGGCGGAGCGATGACGCGTGTTAAGGGCGCCAGTGACTCCCCTCTTCTCCGCGCTAATGTCCACCTTCCGCGACGCTGGTCTCCACCTGGTCGCTACCTGACGTCAGGTGACGGATGCGCAAGAGCCCGCCGGTCGGCGCGACGCTCCCGTTCCCGGCGACGTCGAGGGTGTGCGCGAGCGAGCGAGCGAGCGAGCGAGCGAGCGAGCGAGATTTTCGCCGCGCTGCTCTCTCGGCCGCTCTCCGTGGAGATCTTGAACGGACAATGAAACGGAGCAAATGAGAGACGCTGCGCGGAGAGGAGATCGCGGATGAGGACTGAACGGCTCGCGTCGTTTGTCGTTTGTGTGCGCGCGCGGTTTTACACCTCTCGCTTTGATCTCCTCCCCTCCTCCGCCCCTCAAAAAGGATTCTAACGAGAATTCTAACGCGCCCCGTCCGCGGTAACGCCTCCCCTACTGACAAATTTCTATTGAGATCGAAAGTGAGATTTGCAAAAAATTTCCTACGAGAATTCAATTATTTTATATGATATCTCAATTGAAATATCATACGCAAAAATAGAGAAGCTTTTCTATTTTTTTTTTCTCAAAATTGAAATACTTCATTACTGACATTCTCATGTGATTTTTTACATATATTTTGATATATATAAAATTCAATATATAAAATAGGATATATACAGAGTGTCCCATTTTAAATCTCCCAGGCAATATCTCGAAAAATATGGAAGAGAAAAATATGGAAATACGGAAAAGTGGTTTCAAGGGGGATATAAAACAAGTATATCAATTTGTTTACAGATGGTGCTATTTTCGAGATATTCATTAATCATTACTTCTTTTAAATGGAAACCCCGATTTCTTGTTACACCATCTTTTTTTACTTCAATTAATTTGGATAATTTTTGTCTGAAACATTTTTTTATTTACTTAATATTTTTTTAGATATTTAAGGAAAACTTGGTAACTTTTCAATATTTAACTTATGATATCTCACTAACTATTTGTCGGAAGAAAAAATACTACTAGATTTTTTTACTCTATTTAATCTCAAGAATATATTGTTACAATAGTGTCGTAACTTTTGTTAACTTATCGATTTTTGGAAATTTCAAAATTATCAAATTAACAAAAATCGGGATGCTATTGTAACAATATATTCTTGAGACTAAATAGAGTAGAAGAGTCTAGTACCATTTTTTCTTTCAAATTAGTTAGCGAAATATCGTTAAATATTGAAGTTATTAAGAATATTGAGAAAGTTACCAAGTTTTCCTTAAATATCTAAAAAAATATTAAGTAAATAAAAAAATGTTTCAAACAAAAGTTATTCAAATTAATTGGTAGAAAAAGATGATGTAATAAGAAATTGGAGTGTCCATTTAAGAAAAGTAATGATCAGTGAATATCTCGAAAGTGGCGTTATCTGTAAACAAACTGATATAGTTTATGTCCCCCTTAAAACCATGCAACTTTTGTTTGAAATATTTTTCCATATTCTATCTTTCATTTATAATATCTTTCATATTTTTCGAGATATTTAATCCTGGGGGATTTAAAATGGAACAACCTGTATTTCAATTGAAAAATTGTTAGCTATTTTTTTCATGCGACATCTCAATTAAGACATCATATGAAATAATTGAGATTTTATGTGGGAAATTTTCCGAAAATCTCATTTCAGATGTTATAGACGTTTTTCAACGGGATCGCGTTGACGTAGTTTTTATGTCAATTATTTGTTATTAATAAGAATGTGATTTGCTGGATGTTTCCGTCTCTCTTTCTCTCTCGAGCACTTTTTGCTTGAAAATTCGTCGATTGATCGCGACGACGATTTTTTCATCTCGTGACAATTCCCGTACGGAGAAGGAGGGAGGAGTACGCTATGGTATCGACATCGGGATTGCTGATCAACAGCGCGATTGTTGCGGTAAATTTTTGTGAATCACTAGCGGTGTTATCGGGAAAATGATACTCGCGCGCGTGCAGTGTTCGATATTATCTAAATAGAATTATGCGGATAAACGTCTCCGGATAAAGTCCCGGCACCGACTTATCTCTTCATCCAGATGATACAAAGATACGAAGATATATTTTCGTCTGTCGGCATGTTAATTGAAAAAAAAATGTTATCTTTGCGAAATTATGCAAGATGACATTCGCAGATAACTCAGCCCGCACCGCTGCGAATAAAATACCGAATCATTTGTTCCTTCACGTCGTGGACGTCGTTTTTTGCGTTTCTCGCAGAGACGCCGTCGAGAGACTGAGATTGCACATGTCGATTCGTCTATGAACAGAACGCACACGATGCCGAGAAAGAAGTTTACACAATTTCGTCTTATCTTCATCCGGCTAATCTTTTCTTCCCTTTGATCAACCGCATCACTATAGTGGAACAATTATCGGAAGGAAAACGACCGCGCTATAGCCGTCACGATATCGCTTATTGAATGAAGAGTGAACTCGCTGTTGACCGATCCCATCCGATAAAGCGGCATTTCTCTTCCATCCCGAGACACCCCGTATCGGAAACGTGCTCTTCTTTCGGGAAGAGCCGTCCTTATTACAACGCATATCATCACGAAAGTCACACGCGCGAGTTCAATCTTTCCCCCCGACCTTATGCATTCCCCAGTGACCGTTTGCCAGATCCAGCGAGAGCGCGCCTACTTCGAGAGGGAAAATCAAGCTATTCAACGACGCGCCATTCAAACACACGCTGCCGCCCACGTCCTCCTCATTACTCACTGTATCTCCTTCAAAAGTCGCGGTACACTTCTCTCCCCTGATCTCGATCGATCGAGCGAGCGAACGAGGAACAGACGAGGAGGACTCAACGAGCGCTGCGTGCAATCATCCGAGTGCTCCAAAAGTGTGTCGTCGCGAGGCAGAACGAGGCACTGCGCGCTGCGCGTGATCGGATAACAATTCGCTACTGATCGCCCGCGCGAGTGGCTGATCAGTCACCGAATGAGCGGTAACGCGAATGAGCTGTGATCCGCGACTCGGAGAGAGACCCGGATGTGTCGCGAGTCGGCGTTGGAGACTCGCTCTCGCTCGCGCTGCTCCCGCCAAAAGTCGATAACTGAAATCGAGCGATCTCGCGCGGCCGTTCAAGCCGCGGCGGCTCGTCCAAGTTCGCGCGCGTCCGTCCGTCCGATGGTATCACGGGATGCCGAGGGGGAGAGACACGGCAATCCGCGGGGGGGCCCCGAGAGACAGAGAGAGAGAAAGAGAGAGAGAGAGAGAGGGAGAGAGAGAGGGAGAGGGAGAGGGAGAGAGAGAGAGAGAGAGAGAGAGAGAGAGAGAGAGAGAGAGAGTTCCCGTGGCGGATCCGTCGGATCCGGCGCGCGTACGGAGTGTCGACGAAGCAGCCGCGTGCTCGCTGGTGCGCCGCGATTGCAACTGCCTGCCGTAGGCGGACGACGACGCTCGACGGCCGCCGCGTTCTAACTTGCGACTCGGCCGTGCGCGAGTGGAGGGGCCGCTGTTACCTCAGGTACCCGAGGTACCCGCCGAGGTACCCGACGAGGTACGTGCGCGCCGTGGGAGCCAGGGGGACCCCTACCTTACCCGACCCGCCGAGAGCCGACGAGGAGCTCTACCGAGGCTCGTCACCTGTGCGACTCCACCTCCCACCTGACGACCCGCGTGGATACCTTCCAAGGGGAGAGCTCCTCGCTAAAGACAAGTCGCGATAAGGTGTATCCGCCCGACGAGGAATTCCTAAGCAGAGCCGCTTCTCCTCTCTGCCCCTCTTGCTCCTCTCTTTCTCTCACCTGTCTTTCTCGCTCTCTTCGACTCGTTTGAGCGGCTTTTACGCGGCAGAGACGGGAGTCACTGCCGCGCGGCATAGAAACCGCCGCGGATGTTATCGACGGCTTCGCAGAGAGGAGAGGATGGGGTATATAGCCTTATGGAGAGCGGCGCTCTTCGGCGAAGATGTCGCGCGACCGGGGAACGGTACGTTCGGATTAATAGAATTCGCGTCAAGTGTCAAGTTGAAGTCATGTGAGGATCAAGGTCCGCTTGATTTTCGAAAATTTCGAAGATTTCATCGCGATATCCAAATGTCTTATTCGTCGCAAGCGGTCACAAAGCGGCGTCGATATGAAGGAAAAAATCCAGTTGCAAATAATCGCCATCGGTATCGATTTGCGGAGCCAGAAGATAATCGACCTGTCTGTCGGAAAATGGTGTAAAACATTTATTATCTTCTGTACTAAAAATTAATGAAATACTCATATTAAGAACATTGCGTCGTCGATATAACTCTTTTTTTAACAAGGAAATTCTTGGAAATGTCAGCCGTCAAATGATCATATAAAGATTGTAGGATTCGGAGTGAAGTTACCCGAGAAAAATTAATAGGGCTCTGGTAAGGGCCTGATTATTTTTCCCAAACATTAATCGGGCATATAGAAGGACAAGGGTCTTATTACAAGATATGTATAACAAATGATTTAACGGATCCTTATAAGACAATATTATGAGGGCCTTTTAAGGAAATATTTTTATTATTGCTTGAGTAAAAATATTCGTTCTTTTCATTCCAAGAAATTTAGACTGTAATTTCTTTTCAATTCGAAGACACATGTATAAGTATGTTTCTTTTCCAATACGCATAATAATACTGGTTTCATGTTACCATGTATAAAAGTCATTTCTTGTACAATTTTCCGAAAATATTCATTCTCAGTCTTTATACATCAGTTTTCCCAAATGGAAATTTTAATCATAAAAATATGACATTTATTGAAGGTTATAAAAAAGGCTTTGTATTACTTCGTTTTATGCCTTACATTTTTCGAAAATATATATCCAAGACTATGCGAATATGTCGAGATCAGGTGCCTATAGATGCCTATTTGCAATATATATCTCTTTGAAAATATTCATGTATGATGAAATAATATCAGATATGTCAAGCGTTTGTTCAAAGGAGGTACTTAAGAAATGGAAATAATGAGAACCACGTAAATTTTTATTTGAGAAATACATGCTTTTACACGAAAAATAAACAATTCTATCGTATTATTTAAATTAATAGTAACATATCCGTCTCTCAACATTTTCTCTTTCATGCGTTTATGGCCATTTACACGTCCACGTAGCCCTAACAGTTTCTTGAAATCATAATACGCATGTGCGCAAACGAATATCTGTTATAACAATAGAAATTTTTCTTACGTAGGAACAAAAAAGAGAGATCGAGCGCCGCGGTGCGGCGCGACGCCGAGTACATATGAAACAAAAGCGAAACAAAAGTAGCTTTTCCGGAGTTTCAGGATCGATTGGTCTTCCGAGTCAAATATCTCGAGCATGGAAATTATAATAAAAAATTTTTCTCATATAATGTCTGTCTCGCGCGTAATTTGCAACAAGCCCGATCAAGATTGGTGTCGGAAATACGGAGATTTCGAAATCTCACCTGCAAAAGGGTCCTTTTTTTCGCTAACAATTTCAGATTCAGATCTCACATATACGCACACAAACAAAGCGAGTTTGTCCATCAAGCTGCGTTTGCATTGCCACGCGATGTCAGCTCCAGATTACACGTATATGCACGGACACAAATAATGCGAGTTTGTTATCAGATGTGTTTGCAACATACAGGTTGAAATAAAATAAGTATTTCATTATCTCTGCGTTCGCTTTAGACGCTTATGTGCGCGTCATTCTATTCTTTATTGCTCGTTGCTCATGCATATGCGGAAGGGAGTTTCTTGAAGGGCCAATTGATCTAGAATCAAATCGCGTTTCTTTCAGTCAAATTTCCTCTCGCGGAACCGATTATTTTCATTTTGGGTAATAGTTAAATATAATTTAGGCACGGATATATATAAAATTATTAGTACAATTTCAACCACAATGGTGAAAGTATAACTGATGGACATTATACAAACGTTATGCGTGTTAAGTGCACAGAATGGATTTCAATTAATTCTGTTTGATGATCATCCAGACGGACTGACACGCATTTTCCCGTCCTTAGCATTACCCAGGATGAACGACGTGGACGTGGCGGGGCTTTCATCCCTTTGGGGTGCTTGATTTACGTGAGTCCCCTTGCCTCTCACGATTCGGAATGTATTGGTTTGCGTGCGTACGTGTATGCGTGTGTGTATATGTGTGCGTACGCGTGTATGTCTGTGGGTGGGTGGGTGAGTGTTTCATGTAATATTTGAAATCTGTATCACTTACTTTCTTCTCCATGACTACCATAGCGTCCCATTTGTATCATTGGGATATCTTTTGATTAATACTTTGTTCGTCTGGATAATCATCAAACAGAATCAATCCAGCGCGCAACCGGTGCTTCCAATTCTAGCTTTATCTCGGAAATGAAAAATCATAACGAAACGAAATACATGGCATTTCAAAGCTTCAAAAATTAGTACGTTTTTACTTTTACGTGGTATTAATGAAATCGAGAAAAAAATTTGCTGCCGTGCTACGTCACGAAAAGCATAAAAAATGTCGTTTTTCAACTCTGAGGACATTTTTCTCAAAATCGTGACGTGTTAGCCAAATTTGAACAACAAATTCATGCTCAGCAGGCAAAAGTACATCGAAAATGACTATTCACACTCATGTAGTCGGCAGCATTTAAAATTTGTTGCCCAGTGTTTTCGTGCTTTTAATGGCTTTTTCCATTCTGATCGCGATTCTGAGTCCGTCATTTTGAATTTTCAAAAATACTATATGGCATCGAGAAATAGACACTTCAATGAAAATTTTAAGCGATTTTAGAGCATTTTATCTCAAAAAATATGACTCATTCAATTATCGATTTTATCGATGTCTTGCCATCTCCTTGTCAAATATAAGGCAAAGGACGACACCGGACCGGGCTGCCGCCTCGACCAGCAGGTCTTGCACCGGCAGGGAATTATTTACATTCCCCTGCAGAACCCGCAGCCTCACAACGGTTCAGGCTTAACGGCCTCCCTTCGCCCCACCACGAGCGCAGTACATTCAGAGGAACCAAGACGGTGATTGTTGTCCCGACCCTCCTCCGCGCATACCGCACACCAAGACGGCACAACACATTCACGTGCAACATGTCCCGGCCGACCGCAGTTGTAGCACGCCTGGCTCCTTTCTACAGTAGCTCGGCATGCATCCCGGACGTGCCCAAACTGCCAACACTTGTAGCACTGCACAGGTTTCGCCTTAAGCAGCTTAACCCGCGCAGAGACCCACCCCACTTTAACGCGACCAAATCCAGCCAGCTTCATCGCAGCGGCCAGGGGACACTGAACCCAAACGGACCCTATCCCCTTGGCCGTACGCCTGATGTGGCCTATCCGAACCTCCGACACCGGACAGCCACCACCCTCCGAGATCACCTCTTTAACCTCCTCCAATGTCACAGAGTCGTCCAAACCGAACAGGCGCAGCTGTCCCCTCGCAGTCGGCCGTGACACCATCGCCTCCTCTCCCAGCACCAAGCGCAGCTGGGTTGCCAAGGAGTCAGCCTTAGCGGTACCCTCCGGACCTGAAATCTCCAACAACCGACCACCGTTGGCCGCTTGCCGGATACGCAACGTTTTAATGCCAAGATCAGGCAGCGATATTTCCTCTCGAGCCTTGAGCAAAGCCGCTGAATATGAGAAGGCATCTCCCTTCCCCTTAATCGCAACCGCTGCTGTCCGCGGAAGCTTAGGCTTAGGTACCCCTCCCGGGACGCCCGCGCGCGACGATCCCTCGCTCGATACTTTCGCAGACTTAGGAGCCAGACGCACCGGAACCCTTTGTATGGGAGACGGAGGCGGGTTTTCCAGCCCCATCTGCGCCTCCGAAGAAGCCGCTCTCTCTTGCGCATGCTTTCGACGCAAGCGCCTCTTCGCGCTGTGACTCAACATAGTTTGCAATTTCGCCGGCCGATCGAACGACGATGCCACGGGTACAGAGACAGAATCCGCCGAGCCTCTTTTTCGCATCCCGGAAGGGGCCGCCTCGGAGAGAACCACTTGAATATCCTCAGTTATCCGGAGCGACCCCTTCCCGATCGCAGAGCGGCGGACAGGGGTACCACCCCCACCTACAGGCCCCGCTGGGCCACCGCACATATGCGGGCCACTCGCCACGCCAGGGGCACCGCGTGTCTCCTTCCGGGGGGGGGCTGGCCCCGCCGGGGTCCTGACCACCCCAAGGGAAGTCGTCCCACGAGAGCTCAGCCCCCCGCGGGGCCGACCCTTCTCAGCCTTATCCGAGGGCTCTCTCGCTGAGCGGAGAGCCGCTCCC